GCCATCCAAGCAAAAATACATGCACGACGTTTCCAATTTAAAGGGCAGCAGTCGTCGTGCCGCGTCCTGTTCGATGTGGGACTCTTAGCGACTTCTACAACGCGTGTAAAATACATTGTTTATTTACATGAAATTCGAACACGCGCTGCACGACGACCACCGCGCTTTAAGGTATATGCTTTGCCTTAGTTTTTGAACTGAAGATGGTCGTTACGGTATCTTTCAGACTAACCAAGTGAATGCCAGACCACTACAATATTCTAGTAATAGTATATTCCCGTATTTTAGTTGTGGACATAACATGTTTATACTTACATTGTGCTTATTTTGGATGATACAACACATAATACTAGTAACAGATATATCTGAAATATCAAATATCAAAAACACTTAAACAAATTAATTCAGGATTATATTTCTTGTGAGTTGAACAAAAGTCAAACCCCGTATGATGCTCACAGGGGTCTGAGTGAGAGAATTTCTGGAATACAACTTTAAAGGAGAAGTCAAGCCAAACAACATAATGCTCCATAAAGAAAGACCTCCACAAATGCAGGAGAATGCAATTTACATTTTTTTTTATATCATTTTTCATTCTCTAGATATTCAACTTTTCATCAGTATTATGTAGACCGCCATCTTGATTCTCCAGCAAAGGATTATGGGTAAAGTGTGACATCATGTCCATTGTTGTAAATTTTGAGAAAATGTATTCATCGTGACTAAGGTACTAAGTATATGTATAATACGTCTCGGAAAACCTATTACATGTATATTCAACCATGGTTGGGCTTATGGCTAGTTAGGAATGTACTTTAGGAATATATAGTATGCTGAATACTATGAAATAATCGTATTATTAAAGTTATGAATAAATCACCATCATCACCATCTTCATCATCATCATCATCATCAATTGTAACAATATGTTTATTCCATACTATAGACCACTGTTCCAAAATTACAATAGTAGTATCATTAAATATATAATAGCTGAGGGAGAACACTATAAACAGAACAATAAAATTTTATTCCAAGAAACTTTGATACAACTCATCAGCTCGATACATTTTTCCTGGATAACATCCAGTACGATAATATAATGGAATATACTGAACAGTTTATGAAAGGTGGAACAAAAAAAGAGTTTAGAGTGTCTTCCCGTTTCTATTTAAAAAAAAATATATGCGGACAGTTAAAGTCTGGTCAGAGCAATTCTATGTATTGGATTATCTTAAATATTTTTCTTGCTGAAAAATTAGCTTAAATCTTTTATGTTGGTGTAGTTTGGAGCACTTGCTGATTTGTTCTTGTCAACATTGGGAATCCGTGTCGCTCGAACATTGTTTAAATAATTTTAAAAATTTCGACTCTCAACCAACACCTTGTTTTACCCATGCCTCACCAATTGAAATCATAATATCCACTTCTAGTTTTTTTTAAAAAACGCTGTAACCCTATAATACTACTACTGGGTACAGGGCTAGGGAGTTTCAATCGGTAGCTGTAAATATACCATGCTGTGCTGAGTGGTTCAATTATGACATTAGAAAGAACCGACTTGGATGAAATATACACATGCTAAAACATGCAGTCTCTTGTAAATGTCTGTACTTCATGTCACTGTGCGACGTCATTCATATTGTTACCCCCCCCCCCACGGCAAACTAATTATGTATTCAATAGGACCCGTGAAATAACACAATAACTTTACAACAATTACTACTATAACGGGTCTTACCGATAAATTAAATGTAGGAATACATTGTTAGACACGATTGAATGCTCAATAGATGGATGCGATCAAAATTCGCCACTACGAATTAAAGAAGAGAACAACACTGTCACAGAATTACAGCACAGGGCTGACAACTGACTGAAATATCCTTTAACCCCTCAGCCGATTTACATTCGAATGATTCTGATTATCGTCACCAACAAACCGAATCACTAAGATGTCTATTGCATTTACATATAATGTCACACTGATAGCAAAAAGAATTTGAGGGAAAATATTGACATTGCATTCTCACCCGGTATGTATTATGAATAGCACCAGATATTGTGCACGTGTGTGAAGAGAATTATGAATATGCGTGGAAATTTGTTGAATCCTTTGAACTGCTTTCTAAATCATCCATATTACGCTCAACTTAATTATGTCACCACCGGGTCAAAGGTCATTGAGAAGGAAAAAAGCTTTCCACCCGAGACTACCGCGGCACTGTTCTGAAATGGTGTGTGATGTGTTTTGTGTCTTGAAGTGAAAACCGCAGTAAACATATAGACAAAATGTCCACGTGGTAGAGTAATAGTTCCCCGGAAAGAATATATCTAACCGCGACAAAAAGTCGATTCAATAATTTAAACACAATGCCCCTTTGTGCAAATTTTGACATGAGTTGAAAAGTGCACCTTTAATTTTTTGAAATGCTAGTCAACGTAGGTTAGTTTGGGTTCAAAGTCCAGCTGGGTGCGACCCGGGTGTGATCACAAACGTGTCATGTGGTGTAAACGTGATTATACACGCCTAGGTAATCTTTGGAGAAATAAAGAATCCCGCCAACGGGTTTTTACATGCACACATAATATTTAGGCATTGTTTATGATTTGTTTTCAAAAACACAAGCGCATTTTACGTTGACTTTTCGCTAAGATAATATTTGAAGCTCATACCAGTGTTTAGAAACAGCCAAGTAAACATGGTCTCCCCATTGGAGGCAATACAAACACCTGTTGCTTTTTACCATTATGGTTAAGAGCATACATTTGACTACGCGCACTTGCATTTCATCATTTAAATTGTATACTGTAAGGGTACTCTGTAATTCTGAGTGGGTTAGTCATGGCAGCTGAAAGCACTTGGTGATTAGATGCAACAGTGGCGGTTCCAGAGGGGGGACAGGGGGGACGCCCCCCCAAAAACGCATGAAGATTCATATCATCGGGATTACGCATAGCTTCTCTGCGATTTACGCTCCGTATATTTTTAGCGAAGCTTGGACCCCCCCCCCCAATACATTTTGCTGGATCCGTCACTGAGATGCAATATACACATACCAACACGCAGTCTTTTGTTCACATGGAAATCCATCGCCGCTGGCCATCTAATTATGTATCCCATAGACGCCGTGAAATAACACAATAACTTGACAACAATTACGAGTACATGTAGTTACGTAATCGGCCTTACCAACAAAGTAAATGCTGGAGTGCAGAGTGAGGCATCAATAAATATCCAACGAGGTGGTTTAATGAAAATTCGTCGTTGAGGGAGAGAACAAAAACGTGTTTTCACGGAATTACCACACTGTGTTAATTACATTTGAATGGTTCCAAAAACTGTTTTAAAGTTTAACGAGAAAAACAAATAATTAATTCACAGTCGTTTTAAAAAAACGAAGCTGAACACCTCTTTTAAACATATACTTGAAACAGTACAGTTATACCAACCATTGTGGCAACCAACCATTAGTTAACAAACCAATCAAGTTACTAATTTCTGCGCATGACATTTTTACTAAAACTCGCGAGCCTTCACTAATACCAGCAGCAAAAAATAAATAATTTGAGATGAACTACTGACATCACATTCCGATCTCGTATATTATGGATAACACCGGAGAATGTGCACGTGACCAGATGCGTTTTTTTTTTCAGTTTTACACGGTATGTTCGTGAACAGAATTATGATATATGGAACGTTGTTGAATTCTTCGTAACGTTTTTCAAACCGTGCTTTATAATTACCATGTTATAGTGTAATGTATAAAGACAATACTTTTTATTACTAGCATCGGTTCTGTTCTATAAAATTATGTAATATGACCAAGGTCGGGATGACCTTGGGTGCTTAGTATATTGGTGTAACCATACTGTCAAACGACCCGAAACTGTTACTAGTCACGGTTGTGAACAAAGCGTAATGTTAAGGGAACTTTGAATCGTTTGGCTGGTATTGATAACACTTAAACGTAGAATTATCAGGTTCGAACCTAGGGAAAACACATTAGTTCATTACAGATAGTCCAGTTTTATTCATCTGCCTCTTACAAAATCTTACAAAGAAAAACGTAGCAAACAAAATGGCATCTATTCACACGATATAGCACTGGAACATATTTCCTTTATTCAATTACAGTGACATTTTGACAAAGTTGAACAAAAGCGGATCAACGTAGCGGTTCTATGTTATTGTCCGAATCGTTTGGGTTCAATGTTCGGGTGGGTACTACCATTGGCGTGGTCCGCAAACACGTCGTGTGGTGTAAACGTGATTCTACACGCCTAAGTAATTTTTGATGAAATTTTAAAATCACGCCAAAACGCGTTCACACTTTTACAGTACATGTATATTAGTTTTTTTTCAAAAGCACAAGCGCATTTTCTGTTGACTTTTTGCTAGGATAATATTTGAAGCTCATACCAACAGTGTTTTAAAACAGCCGAGTAAACACGTGGATGTAATGCAAACACCTGTTGCTTTTGAACCTATCTAGTGAAAGTAAAAATTGACTATCGTTTAGTTAAGGAGCCGTGGCATTAATAAAGTTGTACATCAGTCGCGGGTGTTGTTTCGGGAGGAAGGCATGCATTGCATGCTAAAGACCGGTTATTATTTCTACCGCGACGATCACCGAATAACAAAAATGACCAACGTGATATGCGCCTTGAAAATAATCCGGCGGGGAATGTTTCCCACAAAGAACGAATTGAATGTTCTCCCAGGGTCCAGAAAAAATGAGCTCGACTGTCTGCCATTCATCAGATTCACAATGGAAGACACTGGAAACTATCTACCTTGCGTACGCTGGCTAATACATATGTACGTTTAGTGTAATTTGTATTCATGTCATATACTCGACTAAATTTTGTTGTTCATCTTCACGATGAATAGAGAAGGTGCTACAATGCCGGGCACCAACTGTGTCAATGTAAACTCAAACACGAACTGTATGACCTTGTGTCATGTAAATGTGCAACAACAATAGTGGTTGAAAGAAAGTTAGACGTCTCAAACAAGATCGATTGTCAGAACCATATTATGTAAATTTGGAATATCGGTGGGCGTGTCACTTCACGATGCGGGAGAAGACATGAGACAGTACAAATAGTAGCCACTTGTAGGCCAATATTCGAACTGAGAACACCTCGTTAACTTCGTATCTGAACACGGACCGTCTGGTGAGTAATTTTCAGTTAGCTTATTTCAATATGTTAATGTATGTTAATGTATGGTTTGTAGATCTCCAGATGCTGGTATTTTTTTTAGTGTACACCACAGATTAGTTTTAATCATCATTTTGTTAACTGGCCTTATTTTTACGCAGTTTAATTGGGTTTTTACTAGAACTTTACTTTACTAGAACGAGTAAATACACATAATCTATGTGCCGAGGCGAAGGCGACTCTGCACTTTCATGCTCGGCTAGATTCGAAACACATTTGTACTTGAACTGGTATACAGCCCCGCACAAGACAACTTTGATAGGAATGGGCAGTCTGAACGCGATTTGAATAAAAGAACTCTGTCCCCGATGTTACTAGTAACGGATCTAGATATGGAGCTAAAACAACCGACAACAAACTTTAAGGGCGTGGATGACTCGACTGCGTGCCGCGAGGGTCAAACGACCGGTTGTATTGCGCTAAGTGTTAATTTGCCCCATTCTTTCCAGGAACCACAAAACATATGCTGGGAGTAATGAAACCGTATTTTCTCTATGCATTTCATATATAAATAAATACTTGATGTGAACACTAATATCTACCGGGGTCGAAACGACCACCCTGTTCAGGGCTGTTACGCCAAGAACCAGTGCCATGACGTTTTGTATTAACTGGGAAGAAAGAGAGCAAGACCGACACGTCTAGAAATCATAAACTCTGAATACGTGATATCGAAGTCATTGTACATTGTCAATTTCTCCACGGTCAGTAACCGTGATTTCACCCCAGAAAAAACAACAACCGGGCAGTTTAAATAAAACCTCATAGAGGTGTCTTTTCAAAGTCTGAAAACGAACAATCTCAACAAGTGCAGGCGTGCATGGCATTTTGACTTCGAATACCAGTAACTCAAATAGTGCTTTAACATTTAGACCCCTGGATGAAAGCAGCCATTGTATCCTAGTGTTTCCATCCAATATTGACCCATGCCAATAATGTAGTTAGTCTATATAATTTTCTTCCATTCATCCTGTACAATGACTCCACCGACAACACCAGATATACACTGACACATACATATCAACTCAGGCTAATTTTACGATCAACTTGTATTTCAGACTCACTTCGGCATTATGAACAGTTTAACTTTGATCACATTATGTGGCATTATTGCCTGTGCCTTCGCGGCAAGCGCCGAAGTCAGAAGAGACTTCGCTATTAAGAAAGCCATGTACGATGATATCTTAGTGCGTACCATTGACAGAATCATGAGTAAGTATGAGTTATTGGAAGAGGTTGCCATGCCAACCAATAATTACGTCGCATTGTGTCTCATTTCGGTTTTACTTTAGTCAAGCGTATAAGAATGATATTACTGCGATTTTTTCAGAACGTGGTACCTGCACCACTACAATCCAAGACGAAGAAGGAAATGACGTACAGGCTGCCTACAATCCATGCGGTACTGGCCAATATTGCTACAGCAACGATGACGAGAGTGACAAGTACGCATGTACTGATGACGCCAACGGTAAGTGAAGTGATTACGTCATGGATGGGGGATGGTGTACCAACAAATGTATTCGCTGAAAAAAGCTGTCGGCCTCATTAGTTATAAAAAAAAAAGTCAGACGCCGTCTACGGTGGGAATACATTAATATCCGAAATTTCCTCTAGATGTCACACGCTGCCAGAATCTCTCTCGAGATTATTTCAATGTTGTTTTGTTTTTCTAATTTTCAGATCCTTGCGGCGACGCCAACGCTTGCCCATCGGGTACATGCACAGCTAACGCCGACGGAACTGGCTTCACTTGTCAAGGTAGGCTTTCAAAATCATTTAATTAATTTTATAGTGTATAACGAGGGCGCTTCATAAACTTTTGCTCATTAACTATCAACTAATCGTCGATTTTTTTTGTTCTTATTTACAGCCGCAAAGTCCCTGAAATCTGAAAGAGGCATGAAATTGGAAGCATTATTGGACAAAATGAACTTGTAAAAAATGTTGTTGTTTTTTCTCCGTAAAGTAACACGCTAATGAATTCATGGTATTGATTTCTCGTCTAAAAAGTTGGACTGAATCCATTTTGAAACATGTCATATATTTTTTTAACATTTAAAATAAATGAATAATCTGTATGTTCTGTTTTCGTTCTTGTAATTGCCCCTGGAAAAAAAGGTTGGGGGTGCGTCGCCCCTCTAAAATCAAGCTAAAACTTTTTGTGTCAACAAAATTTGCCTCTCAAAATGTAGGAAGTAGCGTTTCAGAGGGTCTTAATTTGAAAATTGTTGAGGGGGACCGCCACATTGCGCTACCGTAAATTACAGAGAGACAACAATTTCAATTGACTCATTTCATGGCAATCGTAATTGATCGCAATGCTTACTGAATGTTCATGAAATATGCGATCTCCGTTCGCCCTGCGGTGTATGGCGCCATCTACGTCAAAGAAATATACTAGTAGTTATTACATGTACATGTATCTCACAAGAATTTGTTTCAATTTGGGGGGAGGGATTCGTTTTGTTTTGATGATTATTTTTTTCCTGAAACTTTCGTTGAATTTAACAACATAGTCACATACCACAGGTCGTTAATAATAACATTAAAGGGTGGTAGTCGTCGTGCCACGCATGTGCGAGGTATATGTATCTCATATAAACAAAGATGGCGACTTTGACTGTTGCGCAGATCAACGAGTACAAACTGAGACGTTACCAAGCTTTAATTAGGTATTTTATTAGGTGTTTAGATGGTATCGGTCGAACCTCTAACTTGTGATTTCCATTAGAAGAGCGCAATGGATTATGGGAAGTTCAATGTTTATCAACACAAATATCGCACATGCGCAGTGCGACGACTACCGCCCTTTAATAATACAGATTGGGAGATATAACAGCTCTGATATACCAACACGAACGTGTTCATGAGAAAGTCATGTTTAGTACTTAATCTTTATATGAAAAAAATGTCACTTGCACATTTAGATGATCTAATTGTATGAATAATAAGGACAAGCAATACAATAACAACAAACATCACTAATGAATACTACTACATATATATCACTGTCGGACATAAAAGTGAAAACACAGAAATCGGCCTACTAACACAATAATGACATTATGTACCGTACACATCAGTGAATTTCATTACGTTTCTTTTACAGAAATATTATCTTCTACATCTTTAAGATAGAATCACACTAATGCATGCAAATGAAAATATTCCATTGTGGTCACGGTTAACATATTTTTTGTGTTTGTTACAGCCTCGTATTCTGGAAAGATTGTCAAATTATGATGTTCCAGACACCGTCCCTCAAGTTGAGGGACGGTGTTCCAGACTACCTTTTTAAAACAATCAAACCAGTAATTGTATAAATATCGTTGTTAAAACATAAAGTGCAAACCCTCACTTCGATTCAATTGCGAGGTTGCGTACCGATAAAGCCGCTCGTAAATGAACGTTGTTTATATTGACCAGATAAGACAAAGCAGACTCAAACATCCTATATGAATCGGGTTTAGGACTTTTGTCTGCTCCAGTATCGTTTACCGTTTATCGATCTTTGTTTGAATTCATTTAGAAACTCAATTTATTTGGTTGTTCCATACATGTGTACACAATAGATGTTTTACATGTAATGCCCAACAATGTTTGTTTCCGTTCTCCTGAAAGGAAATTCGTAATATTTCATTTGCATAAAAACGAAAGAATTTCACAATGTCGAACACGGGAAGTCTCTATTGCAGTGCTGATATTTGTCATCCATACAGACAAGTGTGAAGATGTTCACAAATTATAGATACAAAAAAAATTGCAAAAACCGGCAATAAAGTTATTCCCATACAATTTTGAGGCGACAAAAAATCGTTATTTTGCCCTAAACTTTCTTGAAAGTCACTTTGAGGAATATTAAGTTATGGATTAGGTCTACTATCAAATCAGTAGTACACAATTTAAAAAAATTATTTAGATATCTGGGTTTTTTTAATAATTCAGAATAACAAAAAGTACCCCGGGCCATCCGTCGGACACCATATCCCTAGTATTGTTTTCATCCTATGTTACCAGTTTGACAATTTGAGTTATGGCAAACGTCTCCGCCAATTGTAACATTCTTAATATAACTCATAACCTTAAAAGTGGTTGGAGATAATAGTAGCACTAACAAAATGGCGGCTATTCATTTTTATCAAAGATTTTATCGATGAATAGGCCTTAACTTTTTTAGTCAGTGTCCTTGTTATCACGAACTATAGCTCCATGATGGTACATAATAAACAAATAAAATTGTCATGCAATTTATAAACAACTTTTTCAGAATTGATAAGCTGGTTTCTACAGTGAATTTCATGAAGGCATAGATCTTTTTTTTATGACAATTTGTAAAATATTCAAACATTCATCCTGAAAGATACACGCTATAGAAACCATTGGTAACGCTCATTACTCGGGAGTCTTTGCGGGTTCCCTTCAATTCCTTCAATGATTTACGCGAAATAAAACTTTTACGGGCGTAGTGCATCCGCCAAGGCATTGTGATTGGTCATGTTTTTTTCAACTGTCCTTTTAATTTAATGAAACGATTATAAATATTTTTATACCAAAAAATTACTGTAGCTTATTGTTATTCTATTTCTCTTTATTTTTTGTTATTTTACATCTATATCGCATTTTATTCAATATTAAAAGAGAATATAGAACGCAATAAATATTATTATTATTATGTATGCCATTATGGTTATAGCATAGACCCTCTATGGTTATAGTAGGGACATTTTTGCTGCTGTTTTATCACCAATATTACGCCCCCAACGTCTGAAACTTGTAATACTTGTGCGTTGACGACAGTCAAGAAGAGAGGTCTTGTACAACTACCTCCTCCGTTTTCTAACGACAGAGCATTTTGTTTCTTCTTTTTAGCTCCCGGATTTACAGAATCGTTACATGTCGTGGATTCAAGTAATTTTCGATGTTATAAGTCGGTTGTTATTTGGAGTGGGAGATCACATGACGAAAACAAACATGGCCGCTTCTGACGATGTGACCGGAGGAGATGCACCGACTTCGCCGGTTATTAACAGTGAAGACGACAGGTAAACACAATCCATGTCAATTGTTCAACTCAGTCAATGATTTGAAGTATCTACAAATGGCAATCGGCAGAAAATATCACGTTTTATTCCAAATGGCGTCATCATCATGGTTAGTATTGAGGTCATTTGAAATACGAGTTTAGTTGCCTAAAACCGATCCTCGGACTGGGCGGACGATCGTTTTGATCTGTGAATATATACTATTGTTCAATGAATTAATTTGTTTTCGTCAATACTGCAACTACAACTGCCACACCCGCAAATTAACGTTACTAATGACGTGCCAAAATCGTGATACTGAACAAGATGTACTGGCCATACTGCAGTGTGCATTGCAGGACGAACCCTTTCGAATCACGCGGTGAAGCCTTTGAATTGAAACTCCTGCACAATACCTTTGTGGGCTGTGGATTGAGAAAACAAAACGGACTTTCGTTTAGTCAGTTATTAGTAAACAAAAACAAAACAATGCATCATTTTAGTATGGTACTAATGACAGCTAAATCTTAAACCCTCCCAGGTGTCTACATGATACGCCCCTTACTGGCAGGTGATTTAACTGTAAAATGTATAATGACTCAGCCAAAACAATAAAGCATGGCCAATATATAGGTTTTAAAATAAAAAATAGGCTTACCATAGTAATTATTAACTGGGAAGCCTACATGCAAATACCCAGAATTTATTTATTTTGCAAAAAATTGTACTTCCGAGCAATATAGATTTATTGAGTTTAAAAAAGTTGGGGTCACCAGCCTAATTTTCGAGAAAATGATGATTGTATTTTAGTGGATAGTGGCCATTTTGGCAGTATTATAATGCTTTTACCATAGGTTCTAATGACACATATTATGCCTTGTTTTTGAATTACAAAATGTGCTTTACGAATTACTTCAATGAAAGCGAATAATTACGAATAATTACTACATATGTACATGTACTGCATATTGGTATTGACTGCAAAAATATGCAAATGAAGATAAATTAGTCCTTTCTAAAGTTGCCTTTTCTAGACATTTGAAGAACTACGGTACTCCAATTGCCTCAGGGCATTTTGACACGTCATTTATGTTCTTTGATGTTACGGTTATACATATTTATTTAGAATCAAAAATCAAATTAACAAGAAATAGTTACGTGAATGAGTCACATGTTCATGTAATAATGAGCCATCTTCATAGTACGCTGCCATATACCGGTAGTTAGTAAAAAAAACTGTCAAAACCAAAGTGATGTGCCTCTGTTAAAGCTTAATATGTGTTTCCACAAAATTGAATAAATTCAGTAAATTGACTAAAAAAAATAATCTTTATAGCTTTTTGAAAACCTGGATCTAAAACGAAACAAAATATTTGAAAATCATCCCGGAAATGACGCATATGACGCATATGAAATGATGTCTTGGTCGAGATAGAGGTGTCATTAATTCTTTGATATCAATGTTAAATTACTAGCCAATGACGTCGCTTGTATCAACCATCTTAATGAACATATGATATCAGGTGATAACCTCATAGTATTTATAGACAAATATTGACAGGTGATGCCAACCAGATCCATTTTGTAATGATTTTATAAGGGTTTGATCAAATCCACAGTGATATTATTTAAAAGGCAGTGGTCGTTCTGACTGCTTGGTTTTGAATTTTTGTGTAAATGAACAACATATTTTCCATTATCGCTGTTCTAGAATACTGTGGCTGAGATAAGTTTTTAGAACATGTGCTTTCAATATATCTGTCGTTTAGTTCGTGATGCTTTCTCTTTGTGTGGTTGATGAAAACCACACAATCTTGAAGAGTTTCATTTTTTTTATTTCCAGTTGGTGGTCATTCAGAAGTTGGCTTAAATGGTGCCCAACATCAGAATTTGATCTTTATAAAGCTGAGAAAAAAGTGCTCAAACGTAAGTCAAATTTGCAAAGTCATTAACTGTTTACCAGTACTATTGATTCATTTTGATGTACGGGGTGGGCGGTTTGTATATGTGTTCTCTCTGATCTTTATGCTGAATATAATTGCCCTGATCCTGAGTTGATCTCACTTTGTTATAGATGTGAAGACCAAGTTTGAAACCAAACACATCAACACAGTGGATGGGCAAAGGATATGGACTTTAATAGTTAACTCAGACAAGTCGTCGAAAGTACCGCTTGTCTTTGTGCATGGTTTTGGAGGTGGTATTGGACTATGGGTTCAAAATATTGACAAAATGTCAAGTAGCCGTCCCTTTTATGCTTTCGATTTACTGGGTTTTGGAAGGAGTTCCCGACCGTCTTTTCCGACGGACTCCTGGCAAGCTGAGGATCAATTTGTTGACTCCATTGAAAATTGGCGAAAAGCTATCAACCTGGATAGGTTTATTCTTGCTGGACACAGTCTAGGTGCTTTCTTAGCATGCTCATACAGTATTAAATACCCAGAGAGAGTGCGACATGTAGTGTGCATCGACCCGTGGGGGTTTCCTGAAAAACCACAAGAATCTGAGATGGAAAGACGAGTGCCTATGTGGGCAAGAGCTGTTGGATCATTACTGAAACCATTCAATCTGCTTGCTGGTCTCCGGGCTGCAGGACCCTTAGGTGAGTTTACTATGGGTTAGTTAATGTAAAACTTGTTATTTTTACCTTGCCCGTACCATCAAAGATGGAAGGGAAAGGTATATTAAGGGAAAGATTTCTGTCCGGCGTTGTCGTTGTCGTCGTTGTCGTCGTTAATAATTGTTATTGTGTGCTTAATAACTTTACTAATTCTATTCCAAACTTCATCAAACTTGGTCACCATATTCATCAGTATAAAGTCTTTCCTGAGTTTGAACAACAGATGTCCTGTATGAAAATATCATGCAAAAATTGAGAAAATCTGATAAAATATTTTTACTGTTTCTACTTGACTGATCACTGGTGATACACATCAAAGGTGATCTCAGTGGAAATATGCATTGTTGTATGTGTTCAATGAAGCAAATCATTTATCTTGTAATAATATCCTTGGTAATGTATCTCCCAAATCCCATGGGAATACTATACTGGGTTTCAAAACCAACTCATGGAGAGATTTTTTGCACAGTCCGATACACATTTGCAAACCTACTAATAAAATATTTACAGAAAACAAGATGTCAGAAACTCAATATAAGCCCTTCTATGAACTGGGTGCCAAACTTTGATCAAGATCTGAAGCTAATAGAAAATCTGTTTAGTTCAAAGTTATCAAATCAAAAACAATACATAAAAAATACATAAAAATCAAAACGTTGCATCCACATTTAAAGAAAAGAAAAGAAAAGAAAAGAAAATTGTACTAAAATATATGTATTCTGTATTTGACAAACAGTTTATTCGACAAATGAAAATTCACAGGAATTTGTTTCAGCTATTAGAACAGAATGATAGAGTTTTTATAATACTAATTTAAAACGCACTTCAAAAAGATTTAAGTGTTTGAAGATGTAGATTCTCAGGAGGCAACAGTACTGTTGACTTCTCTCTCCACTGGACACCAACTAACTATTTAAGTTGATTTGCATACAAAGCAGAGCTTGCAACATGATAGCTTTTCATAGAGGGTTTTTTTTTTTACTTTTCATATAATAAGTAGTCACACAATGAGGCAGTTCATATTTGTCTCATTGAATCATTAATTTTTGACAGACACCTGTACAAAATACTTGAACAAAAGCCAGCTAAGATTTTCTGTATCTTGCATGTTTTATGAATTTATTTACGTCTAAATGCAGCACTTTTTTCCGAGATGAAGCAATTGTTTTTATACTAAAATATATGAATAACTTTGAATAAAGCTGGAAATTATGTCCTTTAGAATAATTAAACAAATTAGGCACCAATGTTATTTACATCTATTAAGGACATTCGGTAGACTGATTCCCCACTGTTGGTTCAACCCCAAAACTTGTTTGTATTCAAAATTAATTATGACAATGCATATTTATATTGAAACGAACTATGATAAAGGGAATTATATTTGTATTTCTGTGTTCATTACATCATGATTCCTATGTATGTAGTTTAAGATCATCATTATATGTTCATTTTTCATTGTAATATTATAATAAAAATATTTTATTTTTTGTTATAAACTACATGTTATTTAGGTCCTAGGTTGGTGCGAAGATTTCGACCTGATTTCCAGAATAAATTTTCTATTTTCGAGGACGACACTATATACAATTACATTTATCACTGCAATGCCCAAACTCCGAGGTAAGTCACTTTTACATCACAAACAGGAAAGCTAGCAATTGACCTAATTTTACTGAAAACTTAGCATGACACTCCTGTATAACCTAATGCGATTTCTTATTGTGTTTCATACAGTGGTGAGATTGCATTTAAGCAAATGCAGATACCCTGGGGATGGGCCAAGAATCCTATGATTAAGAGGATTAGAGCGCTGCAGTCGGATATCCCGATGACGTTCATCTACGGATCCAGGTCCTATATGAATTCCTCAATGGGACAAAGTACAAAATACATCAGAAATAACTCTCAGGTTGATGTACATGTAAGTATTTTACTTTGTTAATGAGATGCACATTTAGTGTTGACAGACAGTAATAAAATGAATTGAATGATTATGTGAGAGTAATGATTTTTCGAATACAATGACAATTCAGGGTTTAGTTGTCTCAGAATTAGCTTAGGACCAGCGTCATTTTATGTTTCTAATTATTTGCTAAATTTTATGTGTACCGGTAAAACAGTAAATTTTACAGAAAACGTTTTGTCTGAAGTGGACCAGGACCAGCAAACTGCTGATGTCTAAGTCACTGAAATTACAACTTTAAAAAGACTCATTTGTTTTAGTTTAGTTTTCCTAACAACTGTTACAACCTTTTCATATCAGATATCCTAGAAAAGTGTATATTTCAACACAGATAGATTATTTTGGTCTTGCACCATTATATGGACATGTTATAACCCCATGCCAGTATAATTTGGCCACTTTTGCCATCAATAAGACAAAGACTGCATTCCGTACTTACAAACTGTTAGAAGATGGCCAGTCTGATTACAATAAGTTTCTATTCTATTTGTCTTCAATAACACAGTAGATTCATGCATATGTTTAACCGGTATATATATATATGAGTTTGATGTGCTTATTTTGAAGAGGCAAGGTAACTGTAATAGTGATTTCTACTATACTGTAGATGTAAATAATTTTCTTCTCTGAATCCAAGGGAATGAGGTTACTATGAACTGTACTTGTTTTCTCTTTATGTGTACATACCCAAGAACTTCTATTATGTGTTTAGTAGTCATCATCACTACATTATACTTCCCCATACTATTCGCCTGTGTTCATGAAAACCAATGTTCATATTTACCGATAATTGGTTTGAATTATTAATGAGTCAAATGTCAATCAATATGCCTATTCGTGTAAACAGTATTACCTGAGATGGCTTTCTAAATTTGAATGATGAACTGGTTGAGCAGGTGATTTTACCATAATATCTATGTCTGTGGATGGAAACTTTTGCCGCAGAGCTAAACGTTGTCAATCTGATCAAAAGTGAATTACAAAATATCTGTCAACACTTGATTAAATATCACATCAAGAAAAAGCAAAGCCAAACTTGTCATATTTCATATACATGTATGGTCACCTAATTCATAACATAACCTCTTGTGAGACTAATTCAGTATTCAATTTTATTTATTCAGATTGTCCAGGGTGCTGGCCACCACGTCTACGCAGAGAAACCAGATGAATTCCACTACATTATGCTAAAATTACTGAAAGATGTACAATAATTCCCAGCTCTGATATGGGGCCATGATGTGCGCATGGTATCAATGAACGCATATGTAGACGTCTTCCAAATTCAGGAATTTTTTAAATGCAAATGTCCTAAGAAACAGTACATGCATTACCATGTCATTATGAAATTCCTCATGGATTATCATTAATTGATAGATCAATTATTGATGTGTCACAAAATAATGACATTTGGTTATCTATATGATTGTCTGCAGTGATTGCTCGCAAGACGTTTCAACTTGTGACTTAGCAATGTCTGCTGTTCCTTTGTTTTTGGATCAGAACTATTACTGTAAAATACTTTATTTTAGACTTTTTGGGTGTTTTGTATGGAATTTATTTTCACTGATTTTTGTTGAGTTGAATGTAAAATAACAGAAAAATGGTATATTCGCTGGATTTTATTTTCACTGAATCATTTCTTCAGCGAAAATAGCAAAAATTAATTCCAAGCGAAAATTTTGTATTTTACAGTACTAGAAATTAATATTTACATCAAATTTACATTAGCAAATGTTTTGATTTTTGATTTGTTCGCTTTGATCTCATTGCAGCTGAATACAGAATTTGAAGATGTTTTTTTAGTGTCTTTGTAATGTATGTGGTCACTCAATTCCTGGTCTGCAAACCCCTGAATTTATTTCATCAACATTCGCATGCAAGTAAATAATCATATCACACTGGTAGAGATAGTCAAATCAGTTACGTCTAACTGTCCAAGACATGTGACGTGGGTATTATGTTTTAAACCAGATCCCCCTTAAAGCGTCACATGATGTCTGACATCGTATTGACTTACATATACATAACAGCAAAAACTGAGATTAATTATTGCAATGGAGATGATACTGAATATACTTGGTAATACGCTTAAACAAAATATTTTTTTTTGTGTTTTTTGGAAGAACCGTTTTTGCTCTATCACAAGCGCATTTGATATAGAAGCACATATAAACCAACAGCCACATTTGTCGTATACTGCATCATTAAAATATTACTTATTTTGACCATAGAAACACCTCTGTAATTTATGTAAGCATATGCATTACTAATAGAGCAAATATGGTAGCACGTCTTGTTCAACTTATTATTTCCTGATCAGAGGAAGTTCATTTGTATCTCAGACATGCCTGGACTGACTACGGTATATTCTAACTTTGTATATACATCATGTCATACATATCCATATTCATTTGTTTCAAAATCCAATTTACGATCTATTTAAATTGCTTAAAAATTGGTAGTTGTCATGCCACGAAATGCGATTTATAACGACGTACACAACACATGTAAAATACATTGCTGCATGGCATTTCGGTTTAACGAATGCACTTTCAGAGCTCTGACATTCCTTGACTGATAGCAACCAAACTTGTATTGAACATCACGTCAGATATAGTGATATGCGTTTGTTGCAACTTCTGATTCAAAATGACTTATTCATTTCAGTTTTGTTTATATTACACAACAGGGTCTGTGTATGTATCATGACTTTATACTTTTTAATAATTTAAATACAATTTTGCGAGTAAACTTGCACCATCTGTTTAACTAACTACTTTGTGTGTTTCTGACAAAGAAAAACTGTTCTGTATAATAAACAAACACGATGCATCCCAGTCGTTCTACTGATAAATACATTTCATGTAAAATCACAAATTATTTGTTGTGTCAATACTCAGTGCAATGTACGTGTTTTCATTGTGTTTTTTAGACAATTGTTTTTAATTTATTTTACATGTAATTGCAGCTGATAAAGGATTGAATAAAATACTTTTATCACAGTCCCTCTATCATGTAGATAGATAGTGGGACTGTGCTTTTATACAAATATTTCTGTTGTCTGTTTTTACTCAATCACTGGTGTGTGTTGTTTTGGATACATATTTTATTGCTTGACTTGTTTCTTCTTTATGTTTTAATTAATGAACTTTGAATGAGCTAATTATACCTATTACTAGTAGACTAAATTAAATTAAATCAGCTTTCTAATTATGCTAATTGTATTCCCATTTCAAATTTCATTTGTGAGTATGAAGGATTTAGAGAAACAAAATTAAAATTTCACATGGGGTAAAAAAATTGTCATATGTTAATGATAATATTTGCAAAAAAAACAAAAATTAAAAAAAAAAGAACAGAATCTAAGAATTGGGAAGGTCATCAAATGACATCAATATCCAGGAGGTGTTGCTTTCTAGATTTATGACAGATTCCCAAATATTGGTTTTACCGGGTATTGCTCTAGATGAATCTGAATTGATTATCATAGTTTATTTGATTGAAAATAAACAAAATAATATTACCGGCAACATGTACAACATAATTAAAGATATGTATAGCCATATCAAATACAAAGTAAAAACTAAAGAGGGCAAATCGGTAACCGTACACTTCACCTCTTCTACTGGATTAAAACAGGGATGCACCACTCTTTGTCAATGACCTGCCAAATATTTTGGAGCCAAAAACTTGTGACCCACCATTCCTAAATAGTTTGCAATGCTGTTTGGATAACCTATCAAAATACACAACAAAATGGCAACTAAATGTCAATACTGAACAATTCAAAATTATGATATATAATAAATCTAAAAAATTGCACCTTTTTCTTCGAAGGGAAGGAACTTGATGTTGTAAATATCTCAAGTCTCATTATTAGCTGGGCAGGTATGGGGAATCTGAAAAGAAAACGTCACAAAGCATTGTTTCCTCTGGAAGAACGAATTGGTCATGATAGAAAACTAAACATTGAATTGCCACGCAATAATCAATCATTATTATTATTATTATCTTAATTTTCTTTAACTTTTATTTTTGTTACTGTTTTTAAAATGTATTACATAACAGCCTAAAATTATTACGTAGACGGTAGAGACCAGAATTGATTGAATGAACTCATATATTTGAGTGGAAAACAATTAGCGCAATAAGATGACCACTGGTACCTGACAATTGTATAAATATATTGCCCATTCTCTGATCCTTTCTTATATTATTCTGTCTGATCATAAACACGTGCAAGTAATGAGTCATGTAACTGCAACCGTTTGCTTACATCGCGCATCAGCATACATTGAGTCATCGCGTGTCAGGTGACCACCAGTCACGTGACACGTAGATTGCCGTCATCAAGATATCCCTGAAGATATGATCATGGCAGGCGAAGACGGACAGGTCGTTCAAACTAATGACAGGTAAAGTTAATAACCGAAACAATACAGAATTGCATCGTTTTGTGTGAGTTTGAAAACATAATGACGCTGTTCTTTTCCCGCGACAATTGTTTCCAGCACCGTGTAAAGAGCATGTATGTAAATACTTACAGTCTTTTCCGAGTCGGTTGGACGTTTCATCAGCAACAAGTACATTGGTTACTGAGGGACGGTGATGTATGTTATATCATGGGTATAAGCAAATCGACAAAGACACACTAGTAATTGGAGAAATAATTCTTGACATTTCGAATTCAGTTTTAGTTTACGTTAAGACCACTTAACTTATAGGACGCAATCTCAGAGACGAGCTGTTATTTTTGCCAAGTCATGCTTATCAGGGGAAATTATGTTTCTGGCGAATTGCAGTCACACCAATTCACTCATGGCCATGAGAAATGTAAAAAATGTAATGTGGTGGTCTCTGATGTTTTCCGGTACTGGTCTGCTATGCATGGGAAAATGGTTTTATTTGATTTTATCAGTTGATTGTTTTATTTACCATTGTTGCATTCATGATTAATATTTACATTCAACAATTCACAATATTCAATATATTATTGGTGCAACAAAAGCATGCAAGTATAAATTTCAATGGCAGCCAATCAAAGAGCACAGTGCGAATGAGGTCATTTGAAAACGTTCCAATGTTATTCAATCGGCCAACAGAAACCTCTCATTTCAGTTTGAATTGGGAAATTAATAAATATTTATAAACATTAAGGGATAGTCCTTGTTGCGCTGAGTGTATATGGTGTCAAGAAACAAATATTTGTTGTTTGTGTGATGAAAATAATCTCATCTCAACTCAATTCAGTATAACACGACC